AAAAAAAAAAAAAAAAAAAAACCACCTGGCCAATATGGAAAACCTTATCTCTACCAACAAAAATACAAAAATTAGCTGAGCTTCGTAGGTAGCACACACCTGTAGTCCCAGCTACTCAGGAGGCTGAGGTAGGAGGAAGGCATGAACCTTGGAGGTTGCAGTAAGCTAAGATTGGATTGCTCCACTGCACTCACCCTCCAGCATGGTGGCAGAGTGAGACTCTATCTCAAAAAAAAAAAAAAAAGTCATTCTCCTATGTTAATATGTCTTAATGCATGACTAGCAAATTCGTCCTGAGGTACCAGTGTAGGTGGCCACTTTACCTTTCAGCCTCACACCTGCTGGGTAGTAGAGTTTTCTCTGAACCTTTGTGTGAGTTGGTCAGAGCACGCTTATTCTGTGCTGAGAATGTGGTTGGTGCTGGATAGGCAATTAGCACAGTATCTCTTCCACTATACTGTTTCTTGGAAAGTGACCCATCTGACATTCATCCATGGCTTTTAAAAGGTGACAACATACACATAATTAATAGCCAGGTTTTTGAGCATTTTGCTGTTGATTGACTTCATTGGCTGATTGCCAATTTCAGCTGTGAAACTGACCTTGGAGTATATGTATAGGTGAAATTTTTCAATGACTCCCTCCCCTTTTCAGGAGTTAAGCAACTATAAATTAAGAAGTGCAGTAGAATATATTGGCTATTAGGGTAAATATGGATATAGATACTTTTTTTCTTTTTTACATTTTAGAATGATTGGTATTTTTTTTTTTTACTTATAGTTTATTTCATTTGTCATGAAACTGAGTGATCCATTTTTGCCCCAATTATTAAGTAATATGCTCTGATTTTATATTATACCTTAAAGAAATCATATAACTTATTAACTAAAGCAGTTACTGAAAGAAATGTCCAATACTTACCTATAAACATTTTACCTATGGTTTCTTTAATTTTCATACATTAATCTTGAATCTGTTTTTTTTTTTTTTTTTTTGAGACAAGGTTTCTCACTCTTAATAATGGATCACTGCAGCCTCTACCTCCCAGGCTCAAGCAATCCTCACACCTCAGCCTCTTGAGTAGCTGAGACTACAGGCATGCACCACCTCACCCAGCTAATTTTTGTATTGTTAATGGAGATGAGGTTTTGTCATGTTGCCCAGGCTGGTCTTGGACTCCTGACCTCAAGTGATCTGCCTGCCTTGTCCTTCCAAAGTGCTGGAATTACAGGCATGAGCCACTGCATGCGGCCAAATCTATACTCTTGAAAAAGGAAAGTGTGTTATAACAGCTTGGTAATACATTTACAAATAATAAAATAGTTATTCCAGTGATTAGGGGGTGGTGTAGGAAACTAGTTAATATTTTGATATCAAACACAATGGGAAAATATGCAATCCTTAGGTATGAATCAGGATTCTACTCTTTTAAAAATGTCATATGTACTTAAGAGAAAAAGGTGAAGGTTGATGGACTCAGTTCATATATATATATATATATATATATATATTATATATATGAGACCTGGTGGGCAAACTGAAACCTTCTTTACAATATAGGGCCAATACCGTTTTCCAAAAAGATTTTGACATAGCTGATTAACGCAACATTAGCTTTGGGCTGAAAATATCTAAACTGTTTTAAAACATGCCAAATCAACCAATCTAAATCTTTCCTCACCATTACTAACTTAAGGAGCATATGTACACTATTTCTTACAAGACTAAACGGTACCTTTTGGTACAGAAAGAGAACGTGTTGTTCTGTGTGTCATTGCATGGTGTTTCTCAAGTACGATGCAGAGGTGTATTCATACCATTTGGAATGTAGGAATGTGAATCAGCAGGCTGTCTTAAAAACCAGTAAGTCAATATGGCAACATTGTATCATTTGAAAGTTGTGAACAGAAACACTAAATGGTTAAAATGATTTACCTATAGGAATACCTCATTATAAGTAAATATGATGTATTAAAATTTGAACTTACACTTTTCTGGAAGTTAGGACTTAGTACATTTTATACTTTGAGATGTGTCAGTGTTGTAGAACGTCCAGGATGAAGCGATTGCCCTGGCTTTAAACGCTATCTGATGACACTCAGATTAATCCATCCAGCCCCCTGCTGTTCCTTGAATTTTTGCTATTACGTCATCCTAACCCCCAAGTCCACCAAACCTCTTCCTTCCCTGGCTCTGTAGATCTCTCTGGACGGCAACTCCTTTCTTCCAGTTGCTTGGCTAAACCCTGGAGTCATCAGTGACTCTCTTTCCTTAACGTCTGTGACCTCCCTATTAGCAAATTTTATTGGTGCTGCTGTCAAAATACGTCCAGAAACTAAGCACTTCTCTCCCTCTCCTCCACTGCCAGCTGGTTCATCACCATGGCCTCCTGACCGTTCTCCCTGATTTCAGCTTTTCACCTCCAGTGCATTCTTTCTTCACACTGCATCCAGGATCATTAGAATGTCACCAGTGCTGCTCCTCTGTTCCAAATCCTTCAGTGTTTTTCACGTCATCTCAGTAAAGTCCAAAATTCTGTGTGGTGAACAAGAACCCACGTGGTCTGGCCCCTGCTGCCACTCTGCTTCCTTTCCTGCTGCCTTCTCTTTGCCTTTTCCCATTCTAGCCCTGTCACTGCCCTTGCTGTTCCTCAAAGACACTCAGCCTGCCTGTGCCTCAAGGCCTTAGCACTTGCCTGCTCCTGTGCCTTGCTGACTCAGCCAACGTGGCTGACCCCTTCTAGCTCAGATCTCTGCTCACATGTGGACTTACCAGAAAGGCCGTCTTCCAGCATGAAGTAGGCTCTTCCCCGTGACTCTTGGTCTTCTTACTCTGCTTTGCTTTCCCCCGTAGCACCGTGCACTCTGATGTGTTATATGCTAATACATTTCCTAAAGATAAGCAGTCGAAGCTCTATGGCAGTTAAAACGACCTAATGTGCTCTGTTTACTGTTTGTAGCCTGGGTGTCCCAAATAAGCCCTGCATGCATGGTAGATGCCCAATACATTTTCATCTGATGAATGAGTGTGATATTTTAGATGTTGACTTCTCCTGAAATGTATCAGTTTTTAATAATTTTTCTTTCACTTATTCATTCACCTGGAAAGCCCATCGTTGTGCATAATTCTGACGCATTATTGATACATTGACAAAAATAGTGCAAATTATTAGTGTTTTGTACTTTTTAGTTTGAATACAGAATATGTATTTTACACCTTGTGAAACGTGATCAGATTCTGGATTTAAGTTCTGGAGAATTTTCTCTTTTTCTTTTTTGTAATTGCTGTGATCAAAAATTTAATTTTAAGCAAGATTTGCCTTATAAAGTTAATTTATAGCCAGTTTTGATTGCCATATAGTGTGTGTAAGTTTTAAAGAAGTGATGGTGGTGTCTTACCTTTTTTCTGTTTTAACATTTTAAGAATATTTTCCATATTTATAAACCCCTTTCAAATATAGTGTTATTTTAATCAATATATGAGGAATGCTCACATATACTTTAATTCCTATGTAGATAAGTATTTGAAATCAGATTTGTATTAATAAAAAAATCTAGGCTATCAAAAAAACACATTAACAGAAATAACTTTTTCTCTTTTATGTCAACTTTGGGACCCTTTCCTCTTCTCTCTTTCTTTCTTTCTTTCTTTTTGAAACAGGGTCTCCCTCTTTTTCCCAGGCTGGAGCACAGTGGCACCATCATGGCTCACGCAGCTTCAAACTCCCAGGCTCAAGCGATCCTACTCCAGAAGCTGAGGCAGAAGTGATCCTTCTGCCTCAGCTTCTGGAGTAGCTGAGATTATGGCTACTTTATATTACATTGTTCTGATATTTAGTAGGGATGAGGTCTTACTATGTTGACCAGGCTGTTCTTGAACTCCTGAACTCAAGCGATCCTTCTGTGTCAGCCTTCCAAAGTGCTAGGATTACAGGTGTGAGCCACTGGGCCTGGCCCTCTTTTTTGATATGAAATTGTCACAGTAAGCCAGATTCCTGTTATTCTTCTGAAAGAAATACTCAATATACTTTAATTATTTCTGAATGCTTAGTCGTGTGACTGTCTATAAAATGTTTCTTTTTTGAAACATCTGGTGACCAATGCATTACAGATGAAGACTGCTTACAGATATAGAGTGTGTGCATTCCAGGCAATGTGGTCTTTTATAGAGAAAAATAATGGATCTGGGAAAGGAATTGATACCAAGTTGGAGGGTTCTGGGATATTTTGGGTGCCAGAAGAGAATAATGTCAGTGTTTTATTAAAGAGCTCAGCACCCATCTGCAGAAGTTTGTTGGACTGTTTTTGAATCGTGGGTTTGTTCCATGTGTTTGTTTTTGATCAGATGTAGATTTCCAAGTCAAAGATGCCACATTCAGCAATTGCTTTTCATCCCATTAAGGAGAGTATTTGATGAGAATACCTTAAACCTTTGAATTGAATTAAAGCACAAAGTATTCTAGCGGTGTAAATTATCCGTTGTACTTTAAACCTTGCAAATATGTCCTTCTTTGTCAGTTTTTAAACTATGATGAAGTTTCCAATCAGCCTGGCTGTGAAACCAAAGAATAGTTGTTTATGGAGAGATTATTAACTAGATGATTGTGGATCATCATTCTTTAGTCCCAAGCAAAACGCACTCCAATGCATACCTTTCTTTCTCCAGCATCTGAAGTATTCAGCACTTAGTCCTACAGATGTATTAATTGTTTAATTAGGATAAACCACAAGTCTATTGTTGTTTGTTTTTGTTTTGCTAAAAGAAAAATTGCCATTGAGACCATTTTCCTAAAGAGTTTTCTCTGGAAAGTTGTAATTTAAAATGAATAAAATAATCTAATTGAAGATACTAGTCCTGACCCAAATTATTGACTGCAGAAGACACCTGGTCCCTGTTTTGAAGAAGCTAACATTCATTTCCTTGGGTACATATCATTACCACAAATGAACGAAAGCTCATTTTGTATATATTGACAAGTTAGAATTTTTTGTTATTAACAGGTTTGGCAAACATCGAAAAGATGACAAGATTGAGAAAACGGGTAAAATAAAAATACAGGAATCCTTTACGTCAGAAGAGGAGAGGATTCGAATGAAGCAGGAACAGGAGAGGTAGACTTCAGTTACTTGATTAAACCTCCTTAGAAAGAAGTTCTTTTTTTTTCCTTCTACTTTCTTCTTTTTTAATGTAAAGATTTTGCATTTAATTACTTTTTGTATTTCTTGTGTCAACCCAACTACTGATAATTGTGGGTGAAAATATTGTAAAGAGACATCTTTTTTTACAAAAACCTGATATGTATTTGAGACATCAAGGTAGATTTTAATTGCTTTAGTTAAAATCTTTTGCATAGGAGATAGAACAGCATATTAGATGAATAAACAAACATGAATCTGAATTTACTATTACTTTTTAAATAACACAGAAAGTACTTAAAATCCTGCCTCATTGATATATGGATATTTAGTATATTATAATAACTTTAAAGAAATGCTCTCCTGGAAATACAACTCTTTGAATTTTTATATTACATTTTAAGTATAGTAAGAATTCAGGAGGCTGTTATTCATTATGTTGTTTTTCTTTGAAACCTGACACTTATTTCTTGATTCTCCTTCTATTTCACCATCTTCACATTTTGTGACATTTTCCACTTAAGTTTTCCAGGTCTTCCGGAAAGATTGTTATCTATTGTTGAATCATTTCCATGTTGAGAACTTAAAGACCAATGAAATGAATGAAAAGAGTTACACTAAGCAGGCACTCGAAAACCATTTTTCTAAGTGATTAGAATTTTTCTCATTATAATTCCAGGGGGTGAGAAAGCCATCTCACACTTCTGTTATTAGAGTTTATAGGATCACGGTGAGCTTCTCTCTGTCATCACATTTCATTTTCTGAGCAGCCACAGCGAGAGGTACTATGCCAATTTTACTTTAAATAATCTAGGATTTAAGTGAGTTTCTTGGACCTTGATGAAGATTATAAAGCTAAGTACTGTCCATACCTAGGACTGTAGCCCAGCATCTTTGAAATCAGGTGCAGCATTCCTGCCATAAATCTAAAGCTAGGATGCCTTCAGTCTAATGCTTAATGAATGAAACAACTGCAAATAGTTCACTACAACAGTTTTATGTAAAAGAGATTCGTGTTTGGGTATTTTTTCATTCATCTTTCTAATACCACTGAGGATTTTTTGAGAAGAATGGTTATTCTGAGTCTCTGTACCTTTTCAGGGTAGAAAATGTATGTTGGAAAAATACGAATTTTAAATTTACGAAGCAAGTCTGCTGGTTATGCCTCAATTTTTATTTTTATTAATAATTATTATTTTTTAAAACAGAGTCTCGCCCTGTTGTCCAGTCTGGAATACGGTAGTGAGTCTCAGCTCATTGCACCCTCCGCCTCCTTGTTAACGTGATTCTCCTGCCTCAGCTTTCTGAGTAGCTGGGGCAACAGGCCTGTACCACCATGCCCGGCTAATTTTTTGTATTTTTAGTAGAGATGGGGTTTCACCACATTGGTCAGGCTGGTCTTGAACTCCTGACCTTGTGATCTGCCCACCTTGGCCTCCCAAAGAATTGGGATTACAGGCGTGAGCCACCATGCCTGGCCTCAATTTCTATTTTTAACAAATCATTTCACCTTGCTTTGTGGGACTCTTTCTAATCCTCATCAATTTTGGGATTTCCAAACTTATTAGTGAACTATTTTTGGGTTTGGGTGCATAGTCTTCCTTAGTGTATGTGATATGGCATTTAGTGGCTCAGAAGTATAAATTTCTATCCTAGAAGAGTTTCTTCTCCCTAAAGGAGGAGCCAATACCAGGTAAATGTATGAAATCAGACTTCTCCACAGGCAAATATGTAATGTACTCAGAGAGTAATCTGAGCGACAGAAACATTGTAACTCCCCTATACCTTGATACCTGCCACAGGGAATAACTTCATTAATCCTGTGCCATTTTTCATGTTCTAAATATTTATTCTTTGCCATTTAAGGTGACTGCTGTGTTTCCATGCAGAATTCTATTAATGTTTTCCAAAATACTTTTATGATGCTTGGACAAATATTTCTAGTCAAACAATGATTTTTACATAATGGTTTCACTTGTATTATTAATTTTCCTGAGGCACAGTTCACTTCACAGTTTTGCTTTTAATTTCTGTCTCTGTACCTCTAATGATGCAATACTTCTGGGAACTTGGTTGATTGTAATGAATTTACAATGTACAGGAGGCCTAAAATACAAATCTTTCAGGGTCAAGGAACAAGTGAATGGTCCATTAAAAAAATCAATTAGGCTCATAATTTAAGAAAATTATTTTACTTTGGCTTTGTATTTCAATAACAACTTTTTGCAAATGTTTTATTTAAACTCATGGATTTTGTAATAGAGCAAATGAATGCAAGAAATGGACTCAACTACAAAGTGGAGTATGTCTGGTGCTTGTATTTTATAGGGCAAGCTTCTTTCACATGTCCTCCTTTCTGTTCTGTCTGTGGTGTTGACAGTGTTCTTCCTGAATGGAAACTGCAGCTTCCTTGAAAAAATTTTGGCTGGAGGAGTCAATAAAAATAAATAAGCCACTACTTATGTTCTCCTTACAGCCTTTCCCTCATTGCTGGCCAGTAGTGAAACATCTCCTGAGACATCACTTACCACTGTAGCTATTTGAGTCCCAAAAATTATTTTGACTGATTCCATATAAAAATAGAAAACCTGACATTTCCCATGACTTAAGATTGTCCACAAACCAAAACTTTTTTTGCCTGTATACCTCTGTGAATCCTGAATATTGCTCAAGATACAAATATTGAAAAACTGAAAGGGCTATGACTATAATTTTAAATGTTTTTTCCACAATGTTAAGATATATTTAGATGGTGACCATAAACTAGATTGTTCTGAGCAAAGTCCGAGATTAAGTTTGACTCCGTTCTTGCTAACTTCTTCCCTTTCCATCACTTGCTACCAACACTGTGAAGTTAGTCTTGAGTAAATGTCATCCATGTGGGAGGAAAGGACTAGGAGGATCACTGTATGGAGCCGTGCTCTGCTCTGCCAGTCCTGCCCTGCCTCAGACCAGAGCCTCCATGAGTACAGTCTTCTTGAGAAGCAGGGAGTCTGGGCATGATGCCAAGGGAGAAGTTAACGGCTCTCTGACATGCTATTTTGACTTCCTCATTCCGAGTGCTGAACCTAGGTACCCTGTCTTTTCAGAGATGTTGGCTGCATTGGAGATAGACTGGGAAACTAAGCAAAACTGTGAATTTAGTGCTTCCTGCCTCTGACTTTCAGGCATGTCTAGAGACAGCGCCTCTGCTGGCTCCTTTCCACCACACTGAAGGTTTAGGCTCCAAACTCCAAACAGAACATGTTCCAATTAAGTGATCTGTGTAACCAGGTCCACTTAGCCTCCCGTACAAAGCCCAGTGATAGAGTTCTCTGTTGACCAAACATCACAAAGAACATGTTGGCTTTCTGTTGTTTTTGCTCCAGTGATACCTCCGTGTATTTTTAAGTGGTAGTAAATACACTGTGTGGCACAGGATTGCCCAGTGTTCAGCAGCAGAGAGTACGTTCTGTGTACAGAAACGTTTGAGAAGCGCTTGTTTAAACCAATGTGTGCATATTTTTCTACTCTGTTATTTCTCAAAATTCTACCAAGTTCATGTACATCATGAGTCACCAAGATAGAAACAGAGAGTCACCATCCTCCAAATTTATTTCTTCTCAAAAACATCCTCTCAGCCCCTCACTTTTTGTTTTCCTGGAATACTGACATCCTGCAATATTCTGAGTCACTGGGGCCCTACCGACGGCGAGTAGACCATTGACTCCTGGCCCAGCCTGTCCAGCTCACTCCTCTAACAGGCGAGAGGAACCGGAGTTGATTGTTTTGTAGAACTGCAAGCAAGTTTAAGGCAGTGTTGTAACCTCTCTCTACTTTCTGGCTTCTGTTTTATGGACTTTTAAAAGTACGTGCTCTCAACTGCTCCTTCTTTTTCAGTTTTCTCTTTCTCACCTTTCTCACTTGCTTAAAACATTTCCCTTTTTAAGCTCTAGTTCTAAGTTTATTCTTGTACTAAAAACTACAGAAATATTTGGGGAGAAAACCCATAAAATTAAAATTGGAAAACAAAAATTTATCTGTATTAACACCACTGTTAGCATATGGATCTGTGACATTCTAATCATTTTTTTCCTACAAAGTACATATTGTCCACACCTACATACTTTTAAGCTGACATCTATTTTCATCTTGATTTATTTTGCATTTTTATGCTTTCTTGGAAAATCATGCTAAATGTTTTCTGGATCAAGATCTGGTCTGTGTGAACAGACAGATGGAAAAGAGGGTCAGAAAGAGGGAAAGATGTTTTGAAACATGAAATATTAGCTGTGACATCTGGCCCAACTCCCCAACTCTCAAATAATATTCTCTTCATGTTATTCCTTCTATGAAACGAGGTTTGTAATGTTAACTGGCTTGTACTTTGTAGTTACTCAGCCATCGAAAGCTCCTACAATATTATCATCTATATCTACATAGTAAGTTACGCTTGGGAATATTTCCAGGGATACTGACTGCTTCTAGTGGAGATAGGAAAAAGTTAATTAATTTCTTATGAAATCCTCCCAGTATAGAAGGAATATTTATCAATCTCCCTAGGAAATAGATGATTTGAAACTTTCCATTATTCAATGTTTTAATCATTCTTCAAAGCCTTGTGTTTTCAATACGAGAACTATCTGTGTCCTTCAGTGGGATACTCCTCGTTCTTGGTGTGTCATTTTGCAAGTTTATGTGAAATTTCTGCATGCTGTTTCCTCTCTTTCTAATTTGACCAACTGTTCTCAGTTATACCTGCTTTGAGTAATCATGTGAACTTTTGACAGACTTTTTTTCATCATCTCAGTTGGTAGGACCCTGTTCAGCAGGTGATACATGATTGTTTTCCTAACAATAATCTTTGCATTCACATCACTTATTGTCATTCAAAGACTGCCTTTTAAAAATTAACTTTTTGATGGGAAACATGTTTTCTATCCTGTAGCAGCATTTTTCCTGTTTCTTTGACCTCGTGAATCCTTCAGAAAAGTCAC